CCCCCGGCTTTTGCACACGACCACAGGGCTCCCAGCGCCAATCGCGGCCTTGCCTCCCAGTCACTCCCCTGCCAGACTTCCGTCCAGCGCCCAGACGGAAATTCAGAAAATACCGGACATTACACATGTCCGGTATTTTCTGAATTTTTCGACCAGACAGACAGTGCAAATACCAGACTGTCCGGTAGAAAACCAGACACCTGGCAACCCTACCAGCGCATGACGTTCATTTTAAGAACACTTTCACACTGCAGATTTGACAAAATGTAAAGAAGGCACCAAGCTGACATTTCTATAGTTAACTTCTACAGAATCTGATGTGCCTCCCAAAATCTGAGAGGGACAAAGAATGTATCATGCTTTCAGAAGTCTTAAAAGTACAACACTATGATGCCGAAACTAGAGAACCCAAACCACTAAAAAACTGCTAGTGGCATCTGACTGAGGTGATGAAAATGAACATGTGTCAGTCTGCACTGCTTTTGGATAGTTACCCAGCAGAATTTGTCTTCTGCAGGACGCACATCCTCTGGAATGGTGATTGAAGCATGAAGGGACATAAGACTCTTTACCACATCTGGCACATAAAATATCTTGTGATGAGAGCTAAAATGGTTCCATATGAATGCCTGTTCTCACTTTCAAATGACATTGTAAACAACAAGCAAACAGTGTTATTTCCTGCAAATATAAACAAACTTGTTTGTCTGAATTATTGGCTGTACGAGAAGACCAAGTGGACTTTCTAGATCCTAAAGTTTTATATTGATTCACTTTTATTGCAGTTGTTTTTAATACATATTTCTACATTTGTAAGTTCAACTTTCATGATAAAGAGATTGCACTACAGTACTTGTATTAGGTGAACTGAAAAATATTTATTTTATAATGCAAATATTTGTAATAAAAATAAATATAAAGTGAGCACTGCACACTTTGTATTCATGTTATAATTGAAATAAAAATTTATGAAAATGTAGAAAAGACCCAAAAATCTCAAATAAATGGTTTTCTATTATTAACAGCATGATTGTGATTAATTTTTTAAAGTTGCTTGACAGCCCTAGTAATTTTTAAAGTACACATCTCACAGGGTTAGTTTTTTTAATCATTGTAATACATTTAAAGAAGTTAAAGCATTAAGACCATCTAATAGAAAAAACTGTCCTTACCATTTGGTAAAAGTTTATCTATATCTGCAAAGAGCTCTAAGAGTTTTCCTAATTCATGCTGTGTTCTACACTGCTGCATCATCAGTTCAAGAAGAAACAATGCCTGCGACTCCAGCCATGGTACTGATATTACTGAAGATGTTTGTTTATCTGCAGTTTTAAGCTGTGAGAACAAAAAGGATGTGTAAGTTTCTTACAAGCATATTCTGTTGTGAATATAAATACAAGTTTGTTTGTAGTTAATTGAGGTCACACTGAAAACCAGATAATACCAAATCTAAAATACAATATACGGCTCCTAAAAGATGGGTTGCTCCATCATCAATATCTTGATTTTAATCAGGAAGCAGTTCACTTTCTTGGCTTATAGACAAGATTTCTGGTAATTTCCCTTGAAAATCTGTATGTATAGTTAAAATTTTGAAAAGATCATGGATAGGTAGGGGGAAAAAACGTAATTAAAAACTTAATTTACAGAGGAGCCCTTATGCATTCCATCTGCTTTACAGACACACCCATGAGGAGGAAAAGGAAACGGATCTAGTCTTGACTCAAGTCACAAGAAGGAAAACAACCAACAACAAGGACATGAAATGCTAGTTGCCAGGAAACCAAGGAAACTGGAAGAACAAAGATATAGAGGGGAGAGCAGGAGCAACTGTTTGTATGTCTAGCTCTGAAAATGTAAAGAAAACAAGTAGAGAGATGACTCCAAATATTCAATCTATGAATTTGAGTCTCAGCAATTTTGGGGCAAAATTCTGTCTCCAGTTATTTGTTGATCTAGCAAAGCACATGAGCATAGGTTCAACATTACAGATGTGCTTCAGTCCCATGGACACCAATTACCAAGTCAGGCCTTAATGGGGTTGTTTAGGTGTCTTGGCCTAATTGTTTTCAAAGAATAAGTCAACATGGTCTTTGCAAGATCACCTTGGTGTCAGCTGTCTCAGCCGCTTCTGAAAAAATTCCCTTGTTTGCAGAAAGCCATCAGTATATCCAAGAGTAACTGTTTAGCCCAAGACGATTTTCTCTGAAAGTCACCATCTATCGGCACCATCACTTTATTTTTTCACTTTACTATCAGAATTAATATTATTGACTATGGCCCAGAGACTTAGGTACCACCGAATAGGGCCTTACACCATAAGGAATCTGAGAGTCTAGGAAACCTTTGATGACCACTGGCATGAGGGTGAGGGGGGTTTACAAGAACAGTCCAATGTGTACATTCTAGTTCAAAGAGTTTCAAGTGAGGGTCTTCAATAAAAGCCACAGTCAAGTTGGTCTTTAATATCACTGTGAAAAGAAATACTATGTAAAGAGTCACATATGCATGTAAAAAAAGCATGTTCCTAAATTCTATATGCAGTAGGGATGTTAGCGTATAGTGGGTTACACGATTAAGCAATAAGCCTGGGCTACATAACTACATGAAAACCCTTCCTCTCCCCCCACCCCCCACCTCTAAATCAGAGGCAGCAAGGTGCGGGGTGGTGGGAGCCGGTCTCTGTGGGGAGCTGACTTTTAAGCTGGCTCCCTGCGTGTGCTGGCTCCCACAGAGCTACCTGGCCCCCCTTGCTGCCTCCCACAGAGGCAGCAGTGCCGGAGGGTGAGGAGGTGAGTGGCTCCACAGGGGCCGGCACACATTAAAAGCCATCTTAAAAGCTGGCTCCCCATGCACCTTAGCTCCCCCATCTTCTCCACCACCATGCTGCTGCCTCTGTGGCAGGTGGCTCCCCTGAAATCAAGAAAATGTTGATTGAGATAAAACGTATTGAAGATTAAAGGTCAGCCTTTTCTGTTACGCTTCCAGAAATTATGTTCTGATTTTGTTTTATATGAAGCCCTTCTGTTTCCATTATCTTAACTCATTATCTCCAAAACCTTGATCTTTGATAATAAACAATGATTATTTTCACTAAAAATCTCTCTCAGTGCTGTGGTATTGTACAAGGAACCGATCCTGAACCAAATCAAGCAGGCGTGTGCACTGTTCTCTTGGGGACAGCAGACCTGATGTTACTATGAGCACACTTAGTACCAACTTGCAAGGCAAAATAAGGCCTGGCATAACTCAGACCAGGCTGCGTGGGTGATTAACAGGCCTGAGGTATCAGGGAGACAACACCCAAATGGGAAACAAAGTGAGACTCAGTCCAGAGCACCCTACGAACCATTGTATAATCCAATGGAAGTCAATGGGATAGCTCCAGGAGTAAGATAGTGCTTCTTGTAAATTAGGGTATCATAAATAACTAAAATGTACTGACTTAAAAGTGCATGTGGCTTAGTCAAGCAACGGGTTACTTTTTAGACCAAATTTTAGGCTGTTCACAAAATGGAAATGATGGAGGAGTTGCCTGACACTGATTACTCCAAACTCATCTCCTGAACTGTGTGAAGCAGACTCCTTTTCTTTGTTTTAACCTATGGCATCAATAAACATCAAGCTGTAATATGACGGCATCAAGGCAAAGACATTTACAAAACATCTGCTTACATTTGCAAGACTTGTCTGGAAGTTGTAGAGTTTTGTTTTGGCTTCACTGTATTTTTTGTCATTCATGCACAGTTCATACATCTCCAGCATATGTAATAAAGGGGAATCCTTTAAAATAAACAAAATGTTTTCAAAACTTCACTAAAGATACATTTGTCTAATAAATGGAAAGTTTGTATCAATTAATGCAAGAATAGTAATAGTTTTGGTTTGTTATTTACAAATTTGTGACAAAGTATTTGCAAGTTTGTTTATCTTCCAAGACTAGTATTTTCTCAGAGGGCTAAATTGCACATTGGGCTAAACAACATTTATCTTGTGATAACTTGAAAGACACCTCCTCTGTGCAAATAAGAAAATCTCTCATACAGGAGATCTAAGTACAACCAAAAAAATGGGCTAAAAATACCTAGGTAAGTCATTAATTACCTTGAGAAAAAGTTGGAAACCATTCATGAGAGTTTTACTTTTCTGCCTTCTTAAAAACATCTTCCAGATGGTGGAAAGGTCATGAAGATCCCATTCATGATTTTCTACTGAGCCTTCAATATGGCTTGTTGCTTCTGCAGCAGTACCATTATCCACAGAGGTAATTATCCAAACACAGAGACAGTGAATAATGTCAGCATCCTGTCAAATGAACAAAAATTGCACACACAAACAAAAGTAAAAAATCAGACACTCTCTTATTACTTGGTAATCTAGTTATAGAGCTATCAAATACCACGTGAAATGTGCCATGTGTCAGACTAATCAAATTATATATATTTGCACTCTGACATAAAGATGTGAAATAACCGTCTGTACTGTCTCCAGATGGGTAGATGTTTCCTTGTATTGCATCATACCTCTAAAAGAGAAACACTGTTGAACAACTCTTACCTGAAAACACGCTGCTAACACACTCAAGAAGGGAGCATGGTGCCTCACTCCTTCAGCTAAAAGGTAGCTTCCAGGGTTAGGACTTTCTTGACAACACAACAGAATTTGAAAGAGGTCACTTGTATGTTTGCTCTGCCTGTGCCCAGTCTTGAAAGGCCTGGTATTGTTGTGATAACTCTCTGCACCTGGACAAGAACGCTGTGAATTCTCAAAGGCCAGCATCAAATGATCTTGCAAAATGGGAGTGAAATCTTGAACAATGGAAACAACCTAGAAAAGATAATAAAGGCATCTCTATATAGAAAACTTTCAGATAGCTGGTGTGGGTGTGCGGAGCAGAACTACTGTGTACATGAAGAAACAGTAAACACAGAAGACACTTTCGCAAACAGATTTTATAAGGAATATTTCTTCAGCTCTACAGATAAAAGTGTTCTAGAGATATTGAAATTCCTTCCTTTACATAAAACACGCACTCATTTTCAGCCCCAATGGCATCCTTGGCATAGATGGTATATCATGGAAAGGAATTTTTCAGTAAGTTGCTACCTGGGTTTATTTGCAGGTGACTGCTTCTATTTTGAAAACATTCAGGGTAGGATTTTCAAAGAAGCTTAAATTAAGCTCCCCACTGGTAACAGGGTTTGAGAGCTTAGCTCTCTTAGGCTTCTATAAAAATTCCAACCTAGGACTGTTTCCATAGGACACAACATACTCGCACTTGTGAAAAGATACTTCAGAGGCTAATTGTGCCAGATGTGTGTGTTCAAACCACACTAATTTCAATGGGAGTTACATACAATGGTTCTTATTACACATGAGGCTGCCAAAGCAATGCTGCAGAATGTACATAGTGTCAGAAGATTATAAAATTCTATACTAAGTACGTGTCTTCTACATAGAGTAATAATTGCAAGTGTATTTATGAATATTTCAGACGTTCAGGCTATATCAATTTAACCTCACCCATTACTATGCTAATTGTACAACAAATATTACATTAAGCATATGTATTTATCTTAAACTATTCCATATTTGAAGTGAATTTGTGGTTTACAGCTATTTCTTAGAAGGGAGTCTCTTGTCTTCCAGAGAAGCTTTTTAGCAGGTCCATTTTAATCACTGCTCACCTATGTGTACAAGACTTTACTTAAATCAGAACATACTTTTACAAATGGAAGTGGAAGACTTATGAAACTCTCCCAAACACATAATATAATTACTGCATAAATACTTGCACCCTAACGACATCATCAACTAATCATTCTATATGTGAAACAAAATACTTATTTTATTAATACAAATGAGACCATTCCAAACATTAACATATCTCCAGTACAGAACTCGTAGCATACATTTAATTTTAAAAAATGAACTAAACTGAAAAACCCAGGATGAGTATACCATATCCATAAGTAAAATAAACAGAATTAAGTGCCATTTTACCAGATATTTATCTAGAGCACCTCAAAGGACATTTTAAAAAAATCACTTCTGTTTGAAAATGTTATACAGTAAAATCTCAGAGTTATGAATTTTGAGAATGAAGGTTGTGTAAACTCTGAAATGTTCAAAACTCTGAACAAAACAATATGTTGTGCTTACAAAAGTGTACAACCAACCACTGACTTAATACTGATTTGAAACTTTATTATCCAGAAGTAGGGTTGCCAGGTGTCCGGTATTCACCCAAACAGTCCGGTATTTTCGCCTCCTGTCCAGTAAAAAAATTCAGAGAATACCAGACACCTGAGATGTCCGATATTCTCTGAATTTTTCCCTGGCCAGGAGGTGAAAATGCCGGGCACCTGGCAACCCTACAAACACTCAGTGCCCGGCCTCCCTCTCCCCCAGCACCCCCAGTGCCAGCCCCCATGCTTACCTGGTTCCCCAAGGTTGTTGGCACAAAATGGCTGCCAGCCAAAAGACCTAGGGGAAGCTTCCCCTAGGTCTTAGTGCTCAACCGCTTCTCTGTTCCTATCCCTGCACTTAAAGGGGACATGCTGTTTTAATGCTGTTTTTTTTTTTTTTTTTTTTTTGGGGTCCTCAACAACTTTGGTCCCCCTCCCCTTTTCCCCCCAGTGTTTTTTTTTTTTTGGAGGGTGGGGGAGAGGTGAGGAGGGTGTTTGGTATTTTTGTTTCAACCATCTGGCAACCCTATCCAGAAGAAAAATGCTGCTTTTAACCATCTTAATTCAAATGAAACAAGCACAGAAATTTTCCTTACTATGTCAACTTTTTAAAAACCGTTCCCCTTCAAGTAGTTTACATTTAATAGAGTACTGTTCTGCAATTGCTTTTTTTGTTTTGTTTTGTCTCTGTTGCTGCCTGCTAGTGTACTTCTGGCTCAACAGTGAGGTGTGTGTGACTGGTCAGTTCAGAACTCTGATGTTCGTAACTCTGAGGTTCTACTGTACCTACTACTCATAGAAATTAACTTCTCATATTAATATAATTAAAAGGCTAGCAGAAACTTCTATTTTACCAATTTGTTCATGTGCATTTGACAGCATTTTGAGTCTAGTCTTTACTGTGTCTGCTATAGGACCTGCTGCTATTTTTTGTGTCAGGTTTTCATACAGCAACAGGCAGGACAGAGAAAAATATTATATAAAAATCAAGAAAATATTATTGTAAAACAAAAAGAAATGACAGGGACATTCATGGGCAGTTTAAGAGCCTGAAATAATTTCTAACACATCATCAAACAGACTAGATTTAAATCTGATGTTGTTTCTATAGAGACTAATGCTTAAATTAAAAAAAAGACTATACCATTGACAATGCTTGTTGTTTTAAACGTCTGTCATTTTTAAATTAATCACAGTAACTCACCTCATCTAGTTGGTAGCTGTACATCTGAGTCTGGACGATAAACTGTAGCCAATCATTGGATCTAGCACATTCCATTAGGTAAGATGTGCTTGGTTTGATATCATGGAGCTTACAGAACTGCATCACCAAAGACCACTGTTTTCTAGCGTCACCAGATGTTCTGTATAGAAATGAAAGAATTTTACTGAAAAAAAAAAAACCTGTCCACTTAAGTAGTAATTGTCCTTTCATCTTCAGGTATTTAACAACAACAGATGCAGGCAGGTCTTCCAATTGTAATGAATCATGTGTCCTTCCTGCAACTTCAGAAGGGACTGTATCAGATTGCATCTTGGGAGCCTACCCCTACATTCTTTGCCCATCCAAATTCCCAATTTTCATAAAAGTTTTGCCTTTGTGAGAAATTCTAATTTACTCTTTGCGCCTAAAACAGGAAGTCCCACTAGCACAGTAAAGATAGCACCATCAGCATTATACATTAGCTTCCCTTCCTAATTAGGAGTGCAGATGGAGGTCTATTGGTTATTGTATTAGATATATAAAGAGGACTTATTTCTTACCTCCAATATGTGGAAACACTTGTTGCTCGTACGTTATGTTTACTGCACTTGCCATGCAGAGTAGCTATCTCTATGACACATGGATCACACAGGGGTACAATTCAGTGCTTTCTATCAGGTGGCCAGTACAAAAAGCATTAAAAGTGTAGTTCACTCACTTTTTTATTTCTTGATGTTCAATTTTATTCCAAAAAGCTTCTTCCAAGGAGATAAGCACTTCTGCTGCTGCTGTTTTTTCACCATCCACCAATTTTGTTAGCTTTTCAACTATTTAAAAAATTAAAATAATATTACTGAGGATCTATTTTCACATTAGAGTAAGGACATTTTTCAAACATGCTTAGGTAAATTGTCCTGAATGCCTACATCGCTTTTTAAAAGGCTCCTAACTCAGGCATTTTGAAAAACTTGTCTTGTATTAAATAAACATACTCTTAAAAGCTTTATCGCATAAAAGCTAAACAGCCCAAAACACTAGTTAGGTTTCCCAAATGAAGGAAAAAACTATATCATATGGAACCCTGGTTAAAAATCTAATTTTCTTAATATAAGTTCTTCCTAGAAAAACTCCCATGGTCAAGTTCAAATATCTAATTTCTATGTAGCTTACAGAATTAATTGCAGCAAGAAAGAAGAAATTTGGCTTGTTTCTTTTAATCAAAGAAACACTGACTGCCATTTTTGGAAGCTTACTCTATGGTATGCTTCTGGGCAGCAAATATGCAACACCTCAGTGTCAATGGGTCTTGTAAACTATTCTAGTTCCAGCTATCATTTGACACATAGTCCCTTTGCTATTTTATCAGTAGGTTAAGTCTGGATTAACTATGGATAGGAATTTTTCCTCTCTGACCTAACTCCTTAAAGGAAGGGGGCTCTTCCACCATTCCTTGGATATTACTCATACTGCTCAATAATGATAAAATATACAAAAATATACTCTACCCAAGGATTCTCTTATTAAATTGTGTTGAGACTCTTCATTTCTAGACTTGAAGTTCCATATTAAATTTGCAACTTTAATATCAACCCGAAGCTTGAGGCTGTCAAGACCAAGTAACTCCAGAAAACAAATGCATGCTGCTCCTACTGATGATACATTGAAGAAAGAAAGAGCTAGAGCGTAGGCTTCATTCCCTGCTTGCTGAATCCTAAGGCAAAGGAAACGTTCAAGTCAGTACAACAGAAATGACAACCGAAATTTCCGAACACAGCAATTCAAAACGTAAGCTTACACCTACAATTGCTGGAAAATATAGTCAACTGAATTTGGAATCAAGTATCAGAGGGGTAGCCGTGTTAGTCTGAATCTGCAAAAGCGGCGAGGAGTCCTGTGGCACCTTATAGACTAGCAGAAGTGTTGGAGCATAAGCTCTCATGGGCAAAGACCCACTTTGTCAGATGGCACCTTATAGACTAACACTTCTGTTAGTCTATAAGGTGCCACAGGACTCCTTGCTTTTGAATTTGGAATACGTTTAATTGTGCTAGAAAGACTAACTACCTACAATACATCTGGATCTGAATCTGGGAAAGAAAATAAAGCACCCCATGTGAAAAATATTAAAAGGACATACCTCAACTCTGGGCCAGAATTTGCAATTTGTTTCAATAAGCTTTTATAAAACACTGAAGCCAAAGAAAATGATTCCATAATTTAGAAAAATAATTCTGATATGCAGGCAATGTTATTAGTAACAATGCAACCAGGCCATACTCAGAAATGTACCTGAATACTCTCATTGAACATATAAAATGCACTTTATTTCAAATACTGAGTGGTAAAAGTTTAATTTGTTACATACAGAGTTGTGTGGGTAGTCAGATGGGGATGAGATTTTTCTTATGGTCCTATGGCCTCCAAATACCCTACCGTGATCACACCCATGATAAGTGGATATCCAGCTAACAAATCATGCCAGACCATGGATGTTGCCGGACCAGAGAGGCTCAACTTGTACTGAAGATGAAAAAAGCAACCTCTCCTATTGTTTTAGTTAATAAACTTTAAGATTGATTTCTTATTTGTGTGTCAGCTTCTGGGATTGCAATTTATATTTAACTTCTATAAATTAAAAGTAAGATAAAATTCACACTTGATTTATTTTTTCTTTAGTTTAAATAGGGAAATTAATATAGTTAGTGAAGGAAAAGATTAGGAGAGAAAAGAAGGATAAAATAACAGCCATTTTTTGCTTTATCTAACGTTAGTTTTCAAGTGTAGGCCCAATCCTGCAAACATTATTAATATGAATACACCACTCAGGTAAAACAGATGTGGCACATGCATGAAAAAACTGGATGCTGTTTGTTTCAAAGAGCAGACTATGTACCAATCACATACCCAACAACCTATTAAACATACAAACACTGTATCCTAATTTACTTACATAAAGCTACTTTCAAAAATCAACTTTGTTCAGTCTCAGCTTCTACCATCCAGCCAACTTGAGCTATACTTTTCATTTTCACGTCCCTTTACTCTTTTGTTTATAAAATGTTTTTTGTAGTGATCATCATTTATTGGGATGCACAGGAAACAGCATTCCAAAA